AAAAAAATCTAGTATTATAATGTTAAAAAGCACGATTTTCTACAGATAATTTTTATAGATATATCATTACAGCTAAAATATATTTGTTTTATCAAGGAGTCATTTTTACATAAACATTTTATATTTAATATGTAAGTTTTTAGTCTACATGCACCTGATGAACCTCTCATAAATAAAGCATGCTAGTCAAAGTCTGACAAAGAACTTTGCAAATGAAGTAACATGGGGTTACTGCCACCCTTCCTGTTTTATTTAAATAGGCTTGTACCTAATTAGAAGTTATGTTTATACACAAATTTTGATTTAAATATCCAATATTGTTTTGTTTTTAATGAACCATACAATAAGATTCTTTAAAAAATGTGTTATTTGGAAACAGTAAAAATCATTACCGGTGGTAGGAATAAATTTTTAAGAAAATCCAAAATATGCATATTCCAAAAACTGTATTTTGCTGTTGCATATATATGATTGAATGTTGAAGTAATACAATTAAATTTGAATTGAGTTTATTTCATGATATTTTGAAATATTTCTTAAAATGCAATGATCTGTAAAGAAATTTGTCAAAAGTAGACCAAGATACTAATGAGCCTTCAATTCAATAAAGCCACCATTCCATTTCTGCACGTTAAATTTTAAAAAAAATTCTTAAAGTCTGACAGGTGTGGCTGGTGGTTGAGCATTGACCCTTGAGCCAAGAGCCACCAGTCCAATTCCCCCTCAAGGTACATGCAGGCTCCATCCCCAGGAGGGGGCATTCAGGAGGCAGCTGATTGATATTTCTCTCTCATTAATGTTTCTATCTCTCTATTCTTCTCCCTTCCTCTGTCTCTCAAATTAATAAAAACATATTTTAAAAATCCTGGAAAACATTGTTTCATAGTTTATACTTTTAGAGACATATAATTTTGTTTATTTTATAATACAACTATACAATATTCCTTCATTTCACTGATAGAGATACCTACTTAAAAAACAAAACAAAACACCTCTTTGGAAGACTTCCATTCAACCTATCACTAGCAATATTACTTTTCTTCTACAGGATCAATTTTCTAATGTTTAACAAAAATGTATCTGATGTACTTAAAATTATGCAATGTATCATTACATTTTTATCTTGATAGTAAATAGAAAATGAGAAAATCCCATCATTTCATATTTGCATTAAATCAATTCTCTATGAAATGTATGTTTTGATTGTCAAAAGGTTTTTAATAAGAAATAATTTAAGTCATTCTTAAACTTAAGGGTAAATATTATTCTTTTAAAATATGGGCACAAAAGCTATTCATTAAAAAATTGTTATTGATTTTTAGAAATAAAGGAAGAGGGAGAGAGAGAAACATCAATATGAGAATGAAGCATTGATCTGTTGCCTCCTGCATGCCCCCTACCAGGAATCAAGCCCATCACCTGGACATGTACCCTGACCAGGAATCCAACTGGCAACCTTTTGGTTCATGGGAGGACACTCAACCAACTGAGCCACACTGGCCAGGGCCAAAAGCTATTCATTTTATAGTACTGGTACAATTACCATGAAAAATATTTGACCTGTGTTTGTAAGTCAAATGATCTGCTATAAATAGAGGAAGAATATCGTATTATATTATTGTCACAGTCAAATACACTGCATAACATTATTTTTTTTATCCCAGCCTAACCCATAGAAAGTATAACTTAATTGTAAAAAATTAAATATAGCCCTGGCTGGTTGCTCAGTGATTAGAGTATGGGCCTGTGGACCAAAGGTTTGCAGGTTCAATTCCCAGTCAAGGGCACATACCTTGGTTGCAGGTTCCCTAGACCCAGTATTGGCATGGGCAGGAGACAACCAATCAATGTGTCTCTCTCAGATAAATCTTTCTCTCTCTTCCCCCCTCCTTTCTCCCTTCTACTCTCTCTAAAACTCAGTGAAAAACATATCTCCCCTCCAGTTATATATATATATATTTAATAAATATATATATATTTAATATATGTATATATATAACACTAGGTGAAAACTAAGTATGAAATGTTCTCTTTGATAATTCATATATTATGTATGCCACATACATGCTACATATAATGAGGTAAATATAATATTTATAGAAAGGTATTAAATTAAATTAATGATAAAATGCACAGTTGCCAAATGTAATATTAATTACGTAAGGTTCCTGTAAATATAGATGATAATTATTTTTATGCACATGACTAATGGCAATCCAACTACTTTGATTTTATTGTCATTTATTTGTATTTGAATAAATGTAGAGAACTTAAAATGGTTTGAGGAACATTATCCATAAGTTAAATAGTTAATTTAACAATAGTTTAATTACCACTTTCACAACATTTTATTCCTTAAATGTTCCTTTGTTCTAGCATTTAAATTGGTTCTTTTATTGTTTTTAGTTCTTTCTCAGTATAAAATTTATTCTTAAAATTATAGCAAATATTTTGTCACCCCTGAAAATATTTTAATTTGGAGGCATCTGAAAAGTACAAATGGATATTTCCAAAAAAAAATTAGAAACCTATTTGTGGTCTGCTTTATTTTCCTTAATTTGGAGTTGTGTGACTTTGGAAACAATCTATTGAGCTCTTGAAATTAAGTAGCCAGTTTTTGGCATTTCAAACAAGGACTGAACTATTCTCACTCTTTCCCTTGACCTACTGAAAAATAATGAAGAGAAAGCATAAGAAGAGGGAAGGAGGAAGGAAAGGGGGAGATCTAAAAAAAAAAGAAAGAAAGAAAAGAGGAAGTAAAAATGTTAGATTATGGAAATAAAATTACATATATTTAATGTGAATAATTTGTTAACAACATAACTTAATAACAAGACTAGAACTAATGATATAGGGCAAGAAACTGGTATATTAGATTAAGGTCTTAAATTCTAACTTTTTCTGCATTATGTGTATATGTTTTCATTATCCAATAGTTTAATTTTCCTAATTGCTATTGAGGAAACAGTAGTGGGACCGACTTGGATATCCAGGACATTCACCAAAATTTTCCACCTCACATAGTTAAAGGTGATACTCTTCCTAAAAAAAAGATGTGTTCCAAGCATGATATTTATGCTAAAGTTGATTAACTCATAACTTCAATCAAGTTTGGCTATAAATGATTTTGACTATTAGCATACAAATTATCCACATTTACATAGAATACATTTATTTTCTCTGAAATAATTTAAGTATTTACACTATAATCATTCATAGATAAAAATAAGATTTTATGATATCTACCTAGAAATATATCTGTATGAGATTACACAACATATAAAATAGAACAAGCACAAAAAAATAAGCTTAGTTTGCATCCAAATTTTAATTGATGCCTGAAACATTACATATGTTGTTCTCCCAAATTCTATGAAGAGAGTGTATGCAGGGACCATTACTCCAATCATATACGACTGATATGCCCAATTTATTCAGTGAACATTCTCAAAAAACAAAAATCAAATATTCAAAACCACACAACTTATGTTCTATTGTATATGTTACTGTATTGGCAGGAAATCATGTAAAGAGGAAAAATAATTAATTTTTAATTTTATCCAAGTTTCATGATTGTACATTTTTTAAAAAATTCAAGTATATTAGGGAAATTATGTTTACTTTATCTTCTTAATACATTTGGTAAATATAATAAATCATATAATTATTTTTGAGATTTAAAATAATGTTGGGCACCTTATGAGCAATAGAGGTATAAATAAACTAGCTAAAAAGAGGGTATGTGACAAGGTTATACACTATAGTGCTAGTTTGAAATATTATTTTGTAAATCTTTGAAATGCATCACAGAATTTTTTTGGAAGTTACATCTTTAATTTCATGTAATTCTTATTTCCTATTTTATGCATTAATTAAGAAAAAAAACACCTAGTTACATGGAGGTTTCCACTTTGCATTTTATAATTTATACAACCCGGCCATATCTACATATAATATTGAGGAAGTGATTTTAACATTTTTAAAAGAAAAATAACTCCCATAATGAAGATAAATTAATTACAGCCCCAACTGTGAAAGCAAATGCTGCTACTTATTTTTCTTTTTTAATCCTGAATTTAATATGGAGGAGGTAGATGAAAAGTAAGATACATTTTTAATATTTCATGATATCACATGGCATCATTAATCTTGTTACTTTCCCTTTGGAAAGAATTTGGAAGGGAAAATGTTGCACAG